CATGAGTTCAGTAAGCACAATTGTACGGTTGAGATATATAAAGATTGTATTACAGTCATCGAGCATAAGAGATTGGAATAATGGAGTCAGACACATTTCATGGTAGCATGCTCACCTCCGGGATGGCCATGATCTTACGAGCCAGGTCCACGCACAGCTTGGGCTGATGCTAGGTCGGGCAGGAGGCTGGAGGCAGGAGGCTGCAGCCACCCTGTTTATTGCTAACCAAGGGTTATATCTAGTTAGGGGGGTTGTGATTACAGGAAGGGGCAGTACAATAGGCATACACATCATAGGAAGGGGATGAGCTAGGGGTTTACACATGATAGGAAGGGGTGGAACTAGAGATATACATGTGACAAGAAGGGCGGACCCTAGATTCATGATGGCGGCCTAACCTTGGCCACCCTTGAGTGGGCTTGACCTCTCTGGGGTCTCCTACAAGGAAGCAGTCACCTACTATCCTTATCAGAAGGGAGTGGGCCCCACTTGTTGTGGGATAAACAGTGGTGGCTGCTTGCTCTGGATGGCTGATAACCCTTAGGGAGAATAACCCCTGATCTACTTCTGATGACCTCCAAGTGTATAGGCATTTGCAAGCATCTACGTTTGGCATATATCTGGGGGAGACAACTTGGGAGAAATCCTTCTGTTTCCCACAGCAGACGAGTTCTCTCAATAGACACTTGTCTTCGTCTCCTGAGGAGGGTCTTTCTAAAAAGATACTTTAAGATCATGGAGAGGAAAAACCAAACACTAATTTGAAGTCAGGGCTAATCTCAAATGGCCGTCTTTCCAAATTACCGAAGCTTTGCAACAGTTTACAGGAATACTGCCCCACATAAGCCAGCGGCTGTGAGATGGGGCAAGCATTTTAAGGAGAAGAGGGAAGACCTCAAAGAGGAGCCAAGAGAAGGAAAACTGTCAACTGCAATGAATGAAGATGCTGGCTGAAGGCCAGAAACTGGAGGAGGAAGACGGGAGAATTCCCATTGTGTGGAAGCTGCCGCCGTCAGGATCTCACACAGCGTGGCGTTTTCCATTTTAAGTGAACATCTCAGCAAGCGTGCGGCTCTATGAGGACCAGAATCTCGAAAGGAACAAACAGCTCGTAAAACGGATCTTTCCATTGTCAATCTTTTAAGTACAAGGAACACTATTTGCCATGGACAGTGAATTGTTGCAGGTGCGGTTAGGTTAGAATGTAGCACCCTATCATTTGATCTTCCTCATGATCCATTGAAATTTGTTCTAGTTTTCAATATTTTCTGCTTTCTTTTCCATTGTTTCTTTTTTTACAGGAGATGGCATTTTGTTTATTTATGAATCCACATAATCCACGTATCATACAATTCAACAGTTCAATCATATCAAGAAGGATTATACAATCATTATCCCCAATGTTTTAGAATAGCTTCTCTTTTTTCCAAAATTAAATCGCTTTTAAAATGATTGGTGTAGTCACAACCCGCATCTGGGGTTATAATCCCATCTGGGAATGGGTTTGCTGTGTTATGTTACTGAGACAGTATTAGGATAGAATGTGACTTAAGTCTCTGGAGAAAGGTGAAGCTTTCTACGCCCCATAAAAGAGTTACAGTCTCAAAAAAAAAAAGGAAAGAAAAGTTACAGTCTCAGAAACCCACAGGTATGTGAGTTATGGTTAATTAATATGGCCATCCTAGCCATAATCCCCAGGTGATACAATTCTGGACTTTATAAGCTTGTGGCTAGAGTGCCATTTTGGAAGGCATTATCTGTTAATGAACATAAACAGGATGGGACTAAGACCTCATCTTCGTAGAAGGCGTGGATGGTGCCACATCCCTTGTTTAATGATTATCTTGGATACTGTTACTTGTAATGGATGTAAAGACTGATGTGCTCCAGCCGAAAGCGGAAAGAGCTCCCTCCAGAGTGGCCTGGGTTAAAGTCTGGCTCATAAAGATTGGTAGATGGCCAATGCCTACTGGAACCATCCTGCTATAGACCCTAGGTCATATGTGCATAAATAAGGTACAGCTCAGGGGTGAAGAATTATTCTTGGGTTGTATTAAAAAGGTGAAGGGTTAGATTTTAATTTGATTGCAACATTGATACTCAATGTGACTCCCACCAAATGGCCTTCACCTGGATGGGCATGGTAGGCAGGTGGAGGAAGATACTGATAGGATTCACATGCAAGTAATTATGACCGGGATTCCCTGTCGTGTCATCCTGCGGCATATACAATGAGCCTTCTGAGAAGCAGGGGCTAGGACTTCATCACCAGCGAGAACCAAGAGTGGAACGCATCTTCTGGTCCCGGCATCGGGCTCGCCCTGCTGACCTTCAGATTATGGACTGAACAGCACCCACTACCACATGAGAGTTCCTCAAACTTTCCAAAGGTTCTGTGGGATATGGCAGTGACTCACAGAACCCAGACAAGTGAGGGGGTACACTCAAGGGAGGAGTGAGGGGGGAAAGGATCTGAACAGCATCATGGGAGAGTTGGACATTTGGGGTATCATCAATCCCCAACTCCTTGGGCCTAGTCAGGTATCAATTCTCCTAAGAGAGGTTACTGCCACAGTGCAGTTCTACCTTGTCCAGTAGGATCGCTGTGAATCAGAATTGCCCCAATGACATTGTTTTAAGTCAATGTCTTTTGAAATATGTATGACAGCAGATTCAACAAGCAAGCAGAGTTGGAGGAAGCGAAAATACCAAGCCACAAGAAGATCCCACAGGACTTGTAGCTCAGAAAAGACAGCGATCGTCACCAGAGCTGACAGATGAAGTCTTCCCCTAGAGCCGTCACCCCGAATTCGGACTTCCTGCCTCTGAGAAAATAAATTTCTATTTTCAAAGCCACTTACTTGTGCTTCTGTTACAGCAGCATTAAATTACTAAGGAACCCTATTTCTCCTGTCCACTTCCCCCTTCAAAATTTAATTCTAATACAACATATTTTTGTTTCAAAGTCTTTTATTCATCACCATAATATACATTATCTGTATCCAAAACATATATATATATATATATATATATATATATATATATATGGTAAAAATGTCGAAAGTTCCATGTAATTATAAAACTCTGGGTGAAAAATGTTCTTTTGACTTGCGTGGCCATTAAAAATATTAATAATACCCAGTTGATCAAAGCAACGTGAATATTAGTTTGGTGGGGTTTTTTTTATAAATATTGAACACAAATATTTAAAAATACACTGGGAGTATATCTCCTGATGAACAGATGGGCTCCCCACGCCAGCAGTTCATGGTTTCGTTGTTGAACATTACTTGCTAGAAGAATGCCAGCTTGTTCCACTTGGATCTAGACTTGGATTTGAAGGAGAGAGGGAGCAGCAGTAAAAGGTGGACTGCAGACCTGAGCCACTTATTCATTTCAAGAGCAATTAAAAAATTTGTTTGGTTTGTTTTAAAATTTAGACCTCTGCCTCCATAACTTGGTGGCATCCTGGGGGCTGATAACTCTTCCAGTACTTTTTTTTTTTTTCACTCTCTTTCCCAGACCAGGTCGTTTGGGACTAAGGCACAGGACCCGGCTCTCAAGCATGAGAGCAGCCTCAGTCGTCTGGGGCGTGGCGCTAGTGTGAAAGATGAAGCAGGTGCCAACCGGGCCTGGACCCCTGGCACCAACAGGGATGAGTGTCACCCATAAGCCAGCTGTGGCTGGGTCTCAGTGGGCTGGAGATTGAGTGGGGCACAAAGGACTAGCAGAGGCTAATTTTCTGGTGCTGGGTCCAGTTTATCTTCTTGAGGAGTGGAAGCTGGGGCAGGAGTGTCCTTTTCGCCATTGAGGGACTTCTGCGGCTCACTGCTGTTGGCCAAAGGGGTCCTACTGCCCTGGGACCCCCAGCGGGTCAGGCGCTTCAAGGAGGAGTCACGGCGGGTGAGCAGAGGGGCCTGGAAGCCGGTGAAGGAGCTGCTGGTGGTGGGGCGCTTGTCTGGCAGAGAGAGAAGGCAGGGGTGAGTAAGAGCCAGGTGCAGGGAGAGGGGAGAAGTTGAGGGGCCTTGCCTTAAGCCTGGGGGAGCAGGGAACCTCTTGACCTTCAGTTCCACCTCTGTTGGCCCTGGGAAGTCTGGAGGAACCCCCTGCTCCCCTCCCTTCAGGGACCGCTCCAGGCTGTCTTCTTGCTCACCTCCAGGCTCAATGGGATGCATGAGGCGGTTCATCTGGATGTTCCAGTGTTTCACATTGGTGCTGGCCTGGCGCAGCTTCCGCTGGGCAGCCTGTGAGGGCAGGACCAGTGGGGCAGGGGTCAGGACCACAATCCACGGCAGGGGTCTTGCCCCCTTTAGGCTCACAGGCCCCAGAGAACGTGGCACAAAGGCTACTGATTTTCTCCCCAGAGAAACTGCAAGTTCATAAAGAGTTCTGAACAGAGTGTGCATCCAATTTTCAAACCAAGTTCACTGCCACTGAGTTGATTCTGACTCACAGCAACCCTATGTTTGGGGGCTCATTACCACCCCTCCCTTCAAGGAGCCCTCAATTCACTGCCATCGAGTCAATTCTGTCTCCATTCTGTAGACTGGAGCAGAACTGTCGCTGTGGGTTTCCAAGACTGTTAATGCTTTACAGGAATAGAAAATATCACCTTTCCCCCAACGGGCAGATGGTAGTTTTGAACTTCTGACCTTGGGATTAGCATCGCAACAAATAACCCATGACACCACCAGGGCTCCCAGGGTCAACTGCTAAAATATGCTAAGCATACTTATTCCCTTACTTAACTTCCATAGTAGAAGTCAACAACAAATAGAAATCTCACAAGAGGCTAAACAACCTGCCTAGGGACACACATTGAGCTCTCAACCACTGTACCCCACAGCTTTTCTGGGACCTAATGCGAGAACTGCTGCTCCAATGTTCAGCGTCATGAATTGAATTGTGTCCCCTACAACGTGTCAGCCTGATTGAGCCATGATTCTTAGTGACTTGACAGTTAATGCAATGACCTCGCTTGGCCGTTGTGTAACGTGATGACCCCTCACAATGTCACGTGATGTGATGTCACCAGCCCTCAGTTGTAAGGGCGCTAGAGTGAGATGCAACACCCTCACTCCGGTCACAGCCCCAGCTTTCCTCCGGTGTGCCCTGCATCACCTTTAATCTTGCAAGGGATTTAAAAAAAAAGAGTAGAAACGGAGGGCGCTGACTACCACTAAGAAAGCAGAGCTGGAAGTCCTCTGGATTCAGGGCTCCCATGCTGAGGCCCTCCTATACCCAGGGGAAGAAAGATGCCAAGACACATGGAGCTCTCCAAGGAATGCCAGACCCTCAGATGTTGAGAGGAGACAAGGACTTTCCCCAGAGCCAGTAGAGAAAATCTTTCCCTAGAGCTGATGCCCCCACTTTAGACTTCCACCTTCTGAAAGAGAGAGAATGCATCACTTTGGTTCAAGCCGTCCAGTTACAGGGTTTCTGTTAGAGCAGCACTCCCTAAGACACAAGCCACTAGCAGTGGGTGGTGGTGCTAGAGGGGCACTTTCCCTTTCAGTATTACATTTTTCCTGTGCTGTTGGAAAGGTTTACAATGATCAAGTAATCCAAGAGAGCAAAATTAAAAACAAAAACCAATCTCAGTAAAAACACAAGGTCAAAAATTTAAATAATTTTTTTCTTAAGTGACCCCTCTTCTTGGAGATTCAGGCTCCGGAGTGGCCCAGCTAGCTCTCAGTATCCTTGGGCCCTGCATCCCTGGATTCAACCAGGGGCGTGTTGAAAACATCAGGAGGGAAGTCAGTCAAATCAATCCCTCCAAGACCAAGAGGAAGTTCTATTTGCATAATATTTGCATAGTGTTATTAGGTGTGCTAAGTAATCCCAAACTGATTTAAAGTATAAGGGAGGAGGTACACAGGCTATATGCAAATACTATGCTATTGTATAAGGGACTTGCGCATCAACTGATTTTGGTCACCTTTAGGGGTCCTGGAGCCAATCCCCCTCTATACCAAGGATGGCTGCACAGGGACAACAAAACTAAGGTGTGGCAGGGTTGGAGGAAAAATTTTGCCCAGGCAAATAATAATAGCAAAAATAACAGCCAATGTGTCTTCAGCACTAACCACATACAAATCAAGTGTGATCTCATTTGCTCCTCACAACAATGTTCGAGATCTTCTAACGTTTGCTTATGCCCCCCAAATCCAATGTATGGGAACACCCTCCGTGGGCGCAAGCAGCCGCTGCCTCTCAGCAGCGGACCCCGCAGCCACTGAGAGATTCAGAGAGGTCAGGCAATTTGCCAGAGCCACACAGTAAGTAGGTTGGTGGCTGCCAAGGCTTGAGGGAAGACAGCCTGCTCGGGTTCAGATTCAAGCCTTCCCCCCACCAGCCTCTCCTTTCCCGCTGCCAGGCCTCACCTCCACGTCCTCGTCAGCCCTCTGCCGGTTCTGCCGCACCTCCTCCAGCTGCAGCTGGGCTTGCTGCAGGGAGCGACTCTGCTGCGCCATCTCCTGCTGCAGTTCTTCTTTCTCCTGCTGCGCCTGCTCGATGTAGCGCTCCTGGTCCTCCTTCAGCTGCATCAACTGCTTCAGCTTCTCCTCCTCCTCCTCCAGCAGTCTGCAGGGCGGAGTGCACTTGGTCCTCTGCAGCACGGAGACACCTCGCAGGTGCTCGGCCAGCAGGAGGGCAGACAGGGGATGGAGGAGCCAGGAGGGGTCCCTCGGGCCTACCTGGTCTGGGCTAGGCGCACAGACTCCTCGTCCCGCCGAGCTTTCACCTCCAGATGCAGTGCCTCCTGCAGCCGCTGCTGCATCTCCTCCAGCTCCTCGATGCGCTGCCGCTGCCGGGCAGCCTCCTCCTCCTTCAGCTCCATCTCAGCCTGCATGGAGGCACGGGCCTACGCAGGACGCAGGACGCAGAGCCAGGTCACAGGGGCACACACGGAGCGGGCGGGGGCCTGAAGCCTTCTGGGAGCGCCAAGCCAGGGCGGCAGGCACAGCTAGGCAGGGGGTGATGGTGGGATCTCCTGATCTGACTTTTCCTGACAGCCTGGCTGGGTCAGATTAATTAATAATGGTCACTGTACAGATGTCACCTGGGAGAAAGGGGCTCAGGCCACCCCTTCCTAGAATTTGCCTTAATAATAATGATTGCAATGACCCTGTTATGATTATAGCAACTGAAAAGTATTGAACATTTTACAGATATGTCCTAGGGGTTATGCCTCAGACTGGGTCTGCTAAGCACAAGGTCAGCAGTGTGAAACCACAAGCCGCTCCACTCCCCCGGAGAAAGACAAGGCTGTCTACTCCTGTAAGGTATAGACACCCACAGGGGAGCTCTACCCTGTCCTGTAGGGTCGCTGTGAGGCGACACTGATTTGATGGCAGTGAGTTTGGTTTTTGGTATTCTTCTATGGGAAGGAGCCCTGGGGTGGGGTGGGATAAGTGTTGGATTGCTAATTTTAAGGTCAGAGGTTCAAACCTAATAGCTGCTCTTTGGGAGCAAGGTGAGGCTATCTTCTCCCATAAAAACCTCTCTATAGGACACTATAAGTAGAAATCAACTAGATGGCCCTGGGCTTGGGTCGGTTGTCGTTATACCTCAAAGGAGGGACCCTGTGTCATGGTGGGTTCAGCATCAGGCTGATCAGGAAAGGCCGGTGGCTGGAACCCACCAGTCTCTGCAGGAGAAAGCGGTGGCAGTGTGCTTTCATGAAGATTTACCGCCTCGGATGCCTTACGGAGCATTCTGCTCTGTCCTGCTGGGTCACCCAGAGTCAGTGGCAATGGGTTTTTAAATATACTTCTATCAGCAAAGCTCTCTTAAAAACAAAAACAAAAAACAGCTCACTGCACGGAGTACCTTCTAACCCAATAGAATTGCTCCTGTTTCTGAGCCTGTAAATCTTTCCAGGAGCCCCTCATCCTCTCTTCTGAGACGGGTGGGTTCAAACAACTGATCTTGCGGTTAGCAGCCACGATGCCACCAGGACTTCTTATGGTACTCTTAGCACCAACATTTTGCGGACACGGAACTGAGGCACAGAGCAGCTAAAGTAACCTCCTGAGACCACCCAAGCCCCACAACCAAACCCACTGCCATCCAGTCGATTCCGACTCACAGCGACCCTATAGGACAGGGTAGAACTGCCCCTGTGGGTTTCCGAGACTGTAACTCTTTAAGGGGGGTAAAGAGAAAGCCTCATCTTTCTCCCACGGAGCAGCTGGTGGGTTTGAACTGCTGACCTTGTGGTTAGCAGCCCAAAGGTAACCACCAAACCACCAGCAGGGCTCCTAAAAGGCAGAGTTGGGGTTGAATTCATGCATCTCCGACTCCAGATCTCTTAAACCTAATTTCCTCAGCTCTCATAGGCCGCCTCCAGATCCTGCATTCCCCAAACCCCCAAATTGGTTTAACTGTAAACTGCACTCAAGTCTAGTCGATGTGGACTCATTCCGAGGCTGGAAGTCTTTAGGAGGCCCACAGCCGCAGCTTTCTCCCAGAGGAGAATCTCCCATCTTCTTGTTAGTAGTCCAACGCCTAGCCCACAGGGCAGGGCCACCAGGGCTCCTGGAGGTCTCAGCAGGCCCAGCTCTTCGCCAGGCGCCGAGCACCGCCCCTCCGCCCCAAATCTACAGTTTTCACGCCCCAGCATCCCTCATCTCCGGCATCTCTCAGCCGGGTTCCCCACTCCCTAGTGGCTCCTCAATAGGCACCCGCCCATCCACTTTCAAATCCACAGGTCCCGCCTCCACACTCGGGCTCCACCCCCGGTGCCAGGCCCTGCGCTCAGTGGTCCTCCGCCCCGGCCACGCCCCCACCAGGTCGGGGCTCCGCCCGGCCAGGTTGTGGGCCCCACCTGCTCGGCTTCGCGCAGTTGGCACTCGAGCGCCTGCTGCAGCTCCTGGTGCTGGCTGCGGCGCCGGTCCTCCTCCTCCTGCAGCAGGCGCTCGGCCTGCCGCTGGGCCTCCTGCAGCAGCTCCAGCTCCTGCAGCTTCCGCTCCTTCTCCTCCTGCAGCTGCTGCAGCCGCAGCAGCTCCTCCTCCTTGGCCGCCCGGCGCTTCTCCCGCTGCTCGCGCTGCTCGCGCCGCTTCTGCTTCAGGTCCTTGTGCAGCGACGTCTTCCCCTCGGCCTGCAGCCGGATCGCCGTCTGGATGGCTGCAGCGCGATGGCAAGAGGTCATCGCGGGGGAAGGGGCCTGAGGCGTTGCTCGGGCCCAGCTTCCCACAGGGCTCTTCCCAGGCGAGGGAGAGCCGGCGACTCGAGGACACTCACCAGCGGTCCACTCCTGGCGCTGGCGAGTGTCGGAGGCGCTCATCTCATAGGTGCGGGAGGCGGTCTTCACACAGAACATGCAGCGCTTCCCGTCGCGGTCCGGCAACACCTGCAGGGGGCAGCTGGGCTGGCCTCACTGGGGTCACAACTCAGCTCTGGGGACTCCACCTCCAGCGCCCCTCCTTTCTGGTGGACCTCTCCCACTCAGCCTGGGTGGCCTTTCTCGGATAGTTGCGGGGAGGGGCGCAGGGGCGCCTATTCATGTCCTTGGGGCTGTTTTCCGTTTGTTGGTTTTTTGGCATCTCTCTACAGAGCCTACTGAAACTGTCATTTCCCACTCGGCCACCCTACCGAGCCCAGCTGCCCCAGGGAGGCCATGGTTAAGCATTCGGCTGCTAATCAAAACGTTGGCGCTTGGAACCCATCAGCGACAAGAGAAAGGTGTAGCAGTCTGACCTGCAGACGAGAAAACGCTGCAGGGCCGCTCTGCCCTGTCCTATAGGGTCGCTCTGAGTCAGAATGGAAGGGACCTCAGTGAGCGGTGGCAATCAGTGTCAGTGTCCCCATAAGCAAGGTCAACACCGGCTACCTTGCGCTTCCTTGGACCAGTCTGTCCTGAACAAGTTCACCTTTTCCCCATCACATCGAAGATTCTTGTAGCCTTGGCTGGTGTCTGTCCCTCCCCCAAACCCACAGCACGTTCCTACAGAATCAAGGCCCCGTTTCAATGTGCAATCCCCGACAGTAGAGTCCCCAGTCCTCACTAACTTGTCGTGAACAACCCCCCTTGATTTTCAAACTCGTGGGGAATTGCTCACTGCCGACTCCTCAGCAGCAACTGGTGAGCAACCATCTGCACATGAAGCTGTTCACCTGGATTGGTAAGTAAACACAAGTAAGCCCTGCTTCCCTGGTTTTTTGGGCAATCCACCCCTGATTAGGGTTTAACACCGATCATATCTAAAGACTCCAAGACGGGGTCCTCCCTGCTTAACAACATGAATTTCCACATAGCCCTGATGGTTGAGAAATTCCCTGCTCATCTCAAGTTCATGACCTTGAAAGACAGTGGGATTTTCCCATGCACTTTCTGAAGCCTCCTCATGTTGGGAGCATGTACAGATCTGAGCTGTTCGTTTGGGGCACCGAGGCCTATCTAAGAGATGGACTCTCTGCCTTCACTAAGCTTACATGCTAGTGCGACTAATGTTGCCTTCCGGGTGCCGCGAAGTCCATTTGAATTCATGAGTGCCCAAGGGACAGAGAGGGTGGTCTGGGCTGTGATCAGTAGAGGCAGGTGGCCAGCCAGGTGTTTCTCTTGCAGAGCCCCTGAGTGGGCTCAAAGCTCTCGGTTAGCTGAATCCTTCACCATCTGCACTGCCAGGGCCCCTCGTGGAGAATAACAGCTACCACCTATTGAGCTCGGAGGGAGCCCTGGTGACGTAGGGCTTTCGGATTGGGCTGCTAACGCCAGCAGTTTGAAACCACTAGCCACTCCGGCCTTCTACTCTCATAAGCCAATTCCATCTCAGACACTCACCAGAGCAAGTCTACTCTCCTCTAAGGGAGCATCAGAATTGACTTGACGGCAGGAGTTTAGCTTTTTTTTTTTAATTTTTAGAAAATCAATTTATTGGGGCTCATACAATTCATCACAATACATAGATCAATTGTGTAAAGCACATCTATACATTTGTTGCCCTCATCATTCCCAAAATTCGCTTGCCTCTTGGGTTCCCGGAATCAGCTCATTTTCCTTTTTTCCCCCCTCCCACTCCCTTCCTTGAGTTTAGCTTTTTAAAAAATTGTTATTGAGCATAGGTTCTTGAATCCATACTAGTATTTTTTTTAAGTCATGATTTCATTTACTCTGCCCAGTAATTTTACCAGGCTGGCACTGTTAGCTTCACTTGGCAGAGAAAGAAAGTGAGGCTCTCGAGTCCAGCCCCTTGCCCGGGTCATAGTTGGCGGTGGAGCTGGGCTGTCTGCCTACATCTATCTGTGTTCTTCCCACAGTCTGCTTCCTTCGGCGACACATGGACAGACCCAAGGGAGGGAAAGGGATGGGAAGTGGGGGGAGGTGGCGTGGCGAAGGAACAGGGAGGTGTGGCGTTGTTCAAGGGGATAGAATTTCTAGAGCGTTTGGGTATGTGCTGGCTGAGCCATCTTCTCTGAAATCTTTAGCAAAATCCGCACTGTGCACCGCTGCTTTCTTATGTGATTTGTGGTTTTTGTTTTTCAAAGAGTCCTGACGTGGGTGAGAATGCCCTTGGGGTGCCCAGGTGCCTGTGTGTTTGTGGTTGACACCGTGTCGTGGTGGCTTTTCTTCATTAGTGGTCCCCCCCCACTATCCGCCCCCCCCCCTGGTCGCCTTGTCTTCACACCCTTCTAGACCCCCTCTGGGTCGCCGCCCGCCCGCCTGCTACCCGCCCAGCTCACCTCCACACAGCAGTGCGGGTCCAGCGGGATAGTGCCTCGCTGCTCCTTGCACTCTTCACTCCCAAAGTAGCAGAGGCAGCTGGGCTGCAGCTGGAACCAGCGTTCGGCCCAGTTCCTCCTCAGGTGCCCTCGCTTCCACAGGTACCCCTGGCAGGCCAGAACCAAGTCAGGGGCTTCCCGCTTACCCACGAACCCAACCCTCTCCCTGCCTCCCCTCCCTGCCCGTGGGGCCTGACCTGCTTCAGGACATCCTGGATGAGCTCCTGGTAGACCTCATGGATGGCCATGCTGAGGGTGTCCCGCCCCACGCCCCGGAGGCAGCGGCCCGAGTTGAAGAGCTCCAAGAACTGCCAGACGCTGAGCCCCCCGGTGCTCTGGGCCTCCTGGGCCTCCTGCGCCAGCAGCTCCTCCAGCTCGCCCAAGCCCAGCTCCAAGCTCATGCTGCTGAGCACCTTCTTCAGCAGGTATTCCACCTGGAGGGGGAGAAGGCCCACCTGGTGGCTGCAGCGGGCCTGGTGGTTGGCACCAACACCAGGGGGCGCTCCCAACAGCCTCCCAGGGCTTGGACCAAGGGGGTCAGGGCAGGAAAGGGGTGTGTGTGTGTGGCGGGGGGGGGTTCCGAGGATCATAAACTGCTGGTGGAGACCAGAATAGACATGCAGGAGGGCCTTCTGGTGCTCCAACCCCAATTCAGCTCTTCTTCCTCACCCTCAACCTCCAGTCTACTCGTTCGAGCCTTAAGTGAAGGGCAGAGTGAAGGGGGGAGCTCAGGGCAGGGGGGCAAAGGCAGAGACAGCGAATCATCAAAAATGCCAGAGGGGTGGAAGGGCTCGCTGGTCTAAGGTCCTCACTTTGTAAGTGGCAAAACCGAGGTCCCAGGGGGCAGTGACTCGCTCTAAGTATCACAGTCAGTTGGTGGCCATCAGAACTTGGCATCAGCTCCCCCTGATGCCATTCGGCTGGGTCCTTATTCCAAGTCCCAGTCCCCAGCCCTAAAGACCCTCCCCTTGTTGGGGGGCGAGGGACGAAAGGTGGTGGCAAGCAGGGCAGAGACAGGAAACCCGTTACACAGGAACAGGAAGTCGTGGTTGGGGTACATCCTGCTGCAGTTAGTTCACATTGCGTGTTGATCACTGCAAGTCAGCGGCCCCGGGCCTCTGGGAGGCCGCCTTGTCCTGACTGCCAGAGGCTTGGCCAGGGCAGCCACATGCCCCTTTCCCACCCGGCCGCTTCTGGAAACTCTACAGGGCTTCCACTCTGGGTTCTACTAGGTGTCGGCGCCTCCCCTCACTCTGCCCACCAACAGACACAGGGACACCAATCCGAAGCAGCTCGATAGGGCAGCTCCCCCAGCTTGCCTGCAACCATTCCATCTTGTACACACTGTTCCCTACTCTGAAGACCCCAGTTCTACACAGAGAGCCGGGTGTTCAGGGAGAAGGCAGAACGGGCAGTGGCGCGAAGACGGGAACAGAGGAGGCCTGGGAGGCGAATCTGGCCCCATCCTCTCTTGTGTTGGGGTCAGATCCCAGGGCATGTCTCTGCTGCTCTAGCTGAAAGGAGCTCCTTCCTCCTGGGGCCCAGAGCTGAGTCTGCTGGCTCCCTCTGTCTTGTAGAAGAGGGGAAGGACAAGGTCTAGAACAGCACTGCCCACCTGGAGTCACCGGATAGTCTCCTTTCCCCTCACGTAGCTTCCTTCCTGGGCCACTCCACTACCCCCAACCCCAGCCCACTGTTTGATCCCAAATGTTTTCACTGTATCATGCTCACTAATGCCCCAGTCAGCTAGCATGCATCAAGTATAATTTGCAAGTCATGATGGAGGTATGCGGGCTCTCCTGGCGGAAGGCACCTTTGCTTTGCCCTGGGCAGCAGTAGGCATGGGTAGCTTCCAGGAAGGGGAGACAGTAGAGGCAGGAGATGTGGGAAGGCACAGAAGGGGGCTTCGTGGTTTTGCTGAGGCCGGGGCCCTGGGTCCCGTTCTCTGGGGCTGCTGTTCCCCTCACCTCGTCAGGAACCATGATCAGGGGGTACTTGTCTTCCGATAAGAAGTTGAAGAGGCACCAGAGGCGGAAGGCATCCTGATTGGAGAGTAGGCTGTTCCCGTTGCTGTCCACCCGGTAGTTCTTCTTGGCCGTCAGAGTCCAACAGAGCTCATCAAAGTGCTCCTTAATGAAAGCTCCCTCCTCCACCTGCCACCAGGCCTGCACGTCAGCCTGACAGCCAATATGGCCACCTCATCCCTGTTCTACCACCAAATGAGGCTGCTACTGGGTTTCTTAGATCCATCTGTGCTTCTACTGTGCCCCCCCCACACTGCAAGTCAGGATTCTAAATTCAAGAATTCCTGAACTGATTAATAGGTAGCTAGTTGGGTCTAAGGACCCCTTTCCCAATCCCCCCCACCCCCACCACCCAAACACAAACACACACAAGTTCCTTGCCAACAGAGAAACTTGAGTTGCTTAGCCTAGGGAGACAAGGAGGGGGAGTCCAGGTGGAAGTGGACAGCCAAGGGGAGCCTGGGAAATCTGTGACAGTGGGGCAGAGCCAGGTCAATATGGGGCAGGGGACTGTGGGGAGCTGGAGAATCCTTGGCCAAGGTTACAGCTAGAAGCTGGAAGTGGGCCTAGGTATGGGAGAGGTGGAAGGTTATGGGAAGGGTAGAAATGAGGATAGAGATGTGGGGGCTTACGAGAGAGTTGAGGGGGGCCAGGAGGGGCAGGTGAGGAGGATGTAAAGGGTGGAGATAGGGGAGTAGGAAAGAGCATCAAGTCAATTCTGACTCATGGTGCCCTTGCAGGGCAGGGGTAGAACTGCCCCCATGGGTTTCTGAGACGGACACTCTTTACACGAGTAGAAAGTCTCATCTTTCTCCTGCAGAACGAATGACTGGTGGTTTCGAATCACTGCCCCAAGGGTAGAAGCCCAACGTCTAACCACTATGCCCTCTGGGCTCCTCTGAGCAGGTAAAGGGAGAATTGATTAGCAGGGAGAGATTGAATGGCAATGTACAGGGGGTGCTGGCTAAACTAGGGAAGAGAGAGCTTTTAGAAGACCCCACGGCCACCCCTCACAGCGGGGGCCTCACCTTGTCCAGGATGTACTTGTTGAGGTAGGGCATGTAGCCCTGGCTGGACACAGGACCGTCATCATCGTCTCGGAAGTGTTCCTCCAGAGCCACCGGGTCATGGGGGATGTGCAGGACCGTGTACAGGTTGTGGGACAGCACCTGAGGCAAAGTGACAGCTTGTTGTCCTGCCTTCCAACCAAAACTGAGCCAAAGGACTCACCTCCCTGCTCACCCCTGTCCCAGCTTAGTCCTCCACACACAATCGTCAACAGCACCTAGGCTACCTTGACTAAGCCATTGGTGTAAAACAAGACTCCAGAAATGGGTGGGAACGTGAAATGTTTCAACACAGCGATGTAGCGTGGGAGGTTCTTGCTCCTCTCAAATTTTGGAAGACAGCTACCTGGCCAACCGACTGTAAGAGGCACATGTAAGGTGAGCCAACAGAATGTGACAATGATTTAACGATCTCCTTAAAGTCACCTGCAAGTGACATTCTGCTGAAGGCAATTCAAAAGCAGGTGCAGCAGTCCACAAGGACCTGCCAGAAACGTAGGCTGCTTCTGAAGAGGACGTGGGACGAGGGCTATCACTGCCGCTGTCAGTGCTTGGCTGAAAGTAGACCATACCAGGAAGGTGTCCACGTGTGTGTTCCGTGACCCTGCAAAGGCATGTGACTGTGCTCAGAACCAGCTGGACACCACTGTGAAGACTGGAAATTCCACACCACCTCATTGTGCTCACGGGGAACTACGCATAGACCAGCAGACGGTCGCTCACACGGCACAAGGGGGGCTGAGGTTTCAGATCAGGAAAGGCGCGTGTCTTCCTCTCAGCATACTCAGTCAATCTGCAGACTGAGCAAGTCCTCGCAGACGCTGCATGACAGGAAGGCTCACTAGCCACCGGTGTTACACCGCTGGCACAACCTTGCTGACTGGAAGCCAGGAGCTCCCCAAACAGCGATGGAAACCGAAGACGACAGTCTTCAGTCTGGGTTTACATCGTAAAGAAAACCCAAATCCTGGCAATAAGGACAATAAACAGCAGTACAATCAAGGAAGGAAATATCGAGGCCGTCAAGGCTCGGGTTTTACTCAGATCCACAATCACTGTCCTCGGAAGCAGCAGTGAGACTCAGATGCAATGCACTGGTCTTTAGGATGTACACTGGTACAGATAGGAACTGGAAACACAGGGAATCAAGGACAGATGATCCCTTAGGACCAGTGGTGTGAGTGGCAATACCGGAGGGTGGAGGGAAGGTAGGGTGGAAAGGGGGGGACCGATGACCAAGATCTACATATAAGCCCCTCCCTGGGGGACGGAAAACAGAAAGTAGGTGAAGGGAGGCGTCCAACAGTGTAAGACATGACAAAATAATAATTTATAAACTATCAAGGGTTGTGAGGGAGGGTGGGACGGAGAGAGAGGGGAAAGATGAGGAGCTGAGACCAAGGGCTCAAGTAGAAAGCAAATGTTTAGAGAATCATGATGGCAACAAGTGTACACATGTGCTTGACACAATGGATGGATGTCTGGATTGTGTTAAGAGTTGTACACGCCTCCAAGTCAATGATTAAAAAAAATAGTTACAGTCCCAAGGGCTCAAATAGAAAGTAAATGTTGAGAAAATGATGATGGCAACCTATGTACAGATGTGCTTGATGTACGGAATGTTATGAGAGCTGTAAGAGCCCCCAATAAAATGATGACAAAACAAAGCAGACCTCTTTCAAGTGCTAAAGAGCGAAGCTGTCAGAGTGACAGCCAGGTGCGCCTGCCTCAAGTCCTGGTCCTTCGTAGTAGCCTCGTCGAGTCTGTGAGAGCTGTACAAGGCGGACGGATGGACGGACGTTCGGAGGGGAAGCGAGGCCGTTGAAGGAGGAGGCCGGGGAAGAATCTGGAGCATGCCATGAATGTCCAGAAGAACAACCAGAGCCGTCTTGGAAGACGTACAGACGCATGCTCTTTAGAAGCAAGGACGGTGAGACTTGGGGCATCTTATCAGGAGAAAGCCGTCGCTGGAGAAGGACGGGGAGCCCCTCCCCGCCCAGCAAGGTAGACCGACATGGTAGCTGCCACATTGGGCTCAAGCAAAGCAGAGGTGTTGAGGTCGGCATAGGACCAGGCAGTGTGTTCTGCTGCCCTCCAACATAGAGGGTGACTGAGTCAGAATCGGACTGGAGGGCACCCAACATTAGCAATTGTGCCCAGCACGATGCCAAGCATTTTGGATTTCTTTCCCGGAACCGTTGTTACGATCCCCAGGCTACGGATGGGGACAAAAAACCTTTGGGACCCTCAGATGTTTAGTGACCCACCCAAAATCACAGAGCTGACACAGCTGGGACTCAAACCCCCGGAGCCACACTCTGAACCCCTGCTTTAGCCACCGACATTCTCGTTCTACAGACCAGGCCCCTGAGGCTCAAGGGGTGCAGTCCCTTGTCCTAGGCCCAGCGTGACTCAGATTCACCACGGTCTGGTTCCCACAAAGAAGGCAGCCTGCCACCTCAAGAAGCACAGCTGCCGCCGGCTGAGTTGATGCGGACCCATGACAGACTGCACGTGTGTTAACGTTGAACTGCCTGTGCTCCGCAGGGTTTCCAAGCAGATCATCGGGCCTGGCTTTCCAAGCACCTCTGCATGGACTGGGATCTCCAGCCTTTCCTTCAGCAGCTGCCCAGTCTACGTTTACAGCTCCCAGGGCCTCTGCCCCAGGGTGGGGGCAGAAGCCCCACGTCTATCATTGTGGCCATCGAAGATGCAGGGCAGAGGCTGCAGCAGACTAGCACCCAGGTGCCACTGCTCCAGGAGGGCGCAGACTGTGCAGCCTTGCCCCTCAAGAGAGACTGCTGGAGAGGGTTCCCCGAGGGTCCAAGGAAAGAGGCCGGCACAATGTGGCGGGTAACAGGCGGGTTCCTCCCAGAAACCCAGGATATTGGAAGGAAGAGGTGGATCTTTGGATAAGGAGAGCGAGTCAAATGAAATCGCCCTGGCATCTTTCTATCGTCACACTTGTCACTACGAATGCATGTTTGGGGAGCAATCGGATGCTGATCTAAAGGGGGGTGGTTCAAACCCATCAGCCGCTCTGCAGGAGAAAAACGGTGGCAGTCGTTTCCATATCATTCACAGCCTTAGAAACCCTTGGTAGCCTTTCCACGCCTTCCTGTAGGGTCGCTGTGAGTTGGAATCACCTTGTTTGTATTGTGCACTCGTACTCGGTGCCAGCCACTGTACGCAGTGATTTTTAAGCCCCGCTTTTCAGTCCCTGCAATGATCCTGACACATCGCAGATATTATCATCCCCGATTTTTAGGTAATGATACTAGGAGATTTGGAGAACTTCTAAGAGTAAGTGGCAGAGCTGAGGTTGGACCGAAGTAAGGCCTCCCGATTCGAATTCTGCTCCCCCCGCCTCTCCCCACTGCTAGATTGTGAACTCTGGAGATAAGGTCTCAACTTCCTGTCCCCAGAACCTAGATCTTTCTCTGCACACACCCTCCCCCACCAAACTCACTGTCAGCGAGTTGACGTCAACCCTGGGCGTTTCTAAGACTCACTCTTCACACGCTTTCTCCCGCAGAGTGGCAGGTGGTTTTGAACTGCTAACTGTGTGGATCGCAGCCCAGCTCATAACCACTGTCCTCCGGGTTCCTGCGCGCAAAGGCAGTCCACAAATGCTGTCATAGCAGCCCAAAGTCATACACTGACGAGAGGGGGAAAGAGTCCATCAAGAAGAGAAGATCGTGTCAATCTCCACAAAGTTATGAAGGCGAATACGGTATCTCACAACAAACACAGCACATTAAATATAAAAACACAACAAATAAAATGACAACTTTTTTTGCTCTGTCTTGTTTTGTTTTTTTGTGCACATTATTATCTCTGCTGGTCTATCTAGATAAGATAGGCGGGACAAACAATCTGGAGGAGGAAACAACGGGACTGAAGGTTCTGGTGGTGGGGAGGGGGTGGTGGGCATGGGAGGGGGGGGAAGGAAGTGGGCATTAACAAACCCAGGGACGAAGGAACTAGTGATCTAAAATCGATGGCGAGGTCTGGTAGGGCTTGATCAAGGGCAATTTAACCAAAAGGAATTACTGAAACCCAAATGAAGGCTGAGCATGATAGTGGGACAAGAGGAAAGTAAAAGGAAATGGAGCAAAGAACCAGGAGGCAAAGGGCATTTATAGAAGTCTAAATGCAGATATGTACATATGTAAATATATTTATATATGACGATGGGGAAATAGATCTATATGTACATGCGTATAGGTTTAGTATTAAGGTAGCAGATGCCCATCTGTAGACAACTGGACATCCCCTTATAGAAGGGTTGCGGGGAGGAGATGAGCCAGTCAAGGTGCAGTATAGCAACAATGAAACATACAACTTTCTATTAAGGTAGCAGATGGGCATTGGGCCCCCACTCAAGTACTCCCTCAATGCAAGAATACTTTGTTCTATTAAACTGGCATTCCATGATGCTCACTTTCCTAATACAATTGCTGAAGGCAGAGTGTGTGCATAAGCAAATGTGGTGAAGAAAGCTGATGGAGCCCGGCTATCAAAAGACATAGCATCTAGAGTCTTAAAGACTTGAAGATAAACAAGTGGCCATCTAGCTCAGAAGCAACAAAGCCCACATGGAAGAAGCACACCAGCCTGTGTGACCACGAGGTGTAGAAGGGACCAAGTATCAGGCATCAAAGAACAAAAAATCATATCATTGTGAAGGAGGGGGTGTGCGGAGTGGAGACCCAAAGCCCATCTGTAGGCAATTGGAAACCCCCTTACAGAAGGGTCGCAGGGAGGAGACAAACCAGTTAAGGTGCAGTGTAGCAACGATGAAACATACAACTTTCTTCTAGTTCTTAAATGCTTCCTCCTCACCCCAGCCCCGCTATCATGATCCCAATTCTACTTTACAAATCTGACTAGACCAGAGGATGTCCACTGGTACAGATAGGAACTGGAAACACAGGGAATCCAGGACAGATCAATCCCTCATGACCACAATGAGAGTAGCGATACCAGGAGGGGAAGGGAAGGTTGGGGAGGAAGGGAGAACCAATCACAAGGATATCCATAGAAACCCCTCCCTGGGGGACGACAGAAAAGTGGGTAAAGGGAGACGTCGGACTATGTAA